AAAAAAACTCTTGGCGTTTAGGGCAAGCATATTTTGTAGTTTTTTCAACAAAATTTTGTAGCCTTAATATATTCATTTAAAACCTATTTTTCTGCTCCATGATATTTTAGATTATACATGGTCCATGGGTTTTATATTATCTTGACAATACAAATAACTTATCTAATTTCAAAATTTAAGCTAGGTTATGTTTTCGTTTTTGTTCAGGTTATTCGGATTATCGAAATTTCACATTTGTTTTTTGTACGTATATCCAAATTAAATATCATATTTTTCTAAAAAATGTGAGCTTTCTTGGAGGAAAAAAACATTGAATATAGATGGAGATACAAACTTAAAATAGATATCTACCAATCTATCATTATCAATTGATCAATAGCAATCGGTGATGAGTTGGTTTATGCTTGTCATGAAGTATGAGTTTGCGGTCCAAAATTCAAACCCCATTTTACCAAAGCTTTGTTTTCTTGGAGTATTTTATTTTTGTGGGTAATATATAAATGGCCGTTAGATGGTGTTGCATTAAATTAAAGTGTCTCATTTTTTTTTTTGTGAATTAACCCAATATACATGCAAGATTGGGTATTTAGGAGAACAACTTAAATATGTTGAAAATTAGGTGAATGAGAGTAAGTGGTGAGAAGAAAAGACGATTTTGGGGTTAACAAATCCTGAGAAGATAAACGTGTAAATCTTTAGATTGACAGTATTTATAATTAATATCCGGCTAACAATTAAGATTATTTTTTACATTATTAAATTACCTGGATACCAATTTTATTATCCACCGCCATAATTAACTCTAGTCGTTACAGTTCACGCTAACCACCACATTTAACGAGAATATCCGGCTAACAATTAAGATTACCTATTACCACAGTTAACCCTAGCCGCCACAGTTCATCCTAGCCATCACAGTTAACGAGAGAGATAGATATGAAAGACAGAGAAAATAAAGACAAGGTGGGGTTATTGAAAAAAAGAATAGTAGAAATTTCACCCACCTAATTAATCCATATAGTGTGTATATGTAGTGCAAATTCTCTTCTTTCTTTTTTTTGTCGAAAATTTTTAAAATTAAAGTGTCTCTAATTTGTTTTTTTCTATATTTAATGCTCTGTTTTTTGTTGACTTTTTCCTAAAATTAGTGTCCCTCTAAATATGAGAGTAAATAAGTCCTTTCTCTCTAATTTTCTTTTCAAATTCCTTGTAAAAGTTGTAACGTTTACTTTTCTTTTGACAAATTTTTCCTCCTCGAAGACATTTTACAAGGAACTATATAGTCACATTTTACGATATCAATCAAATTTAATTTATGTTTAGCTCACAAAATTATATTAATGAATTTACATTACAAAACGAAAGAAAAAAATGTAATAAATACGCCACGTGTGGTTCTGTCAAAAAGTGTTGCATGTGAAGCTGCTTTTAGTTGGCCCCAACCAATCCTATTATTGCCTCTCTCTTTTTTCCACAATTATTCATCATTTATTCTACCAAATAATGAAAAAACAAAAACTGATTTGTCTTTCCATCACAACAAATTTCTCAGTATGAAATATGAACAAATACCATATTCCAAAAACGTATCCCACCCAGATGATATAAAAAAAAAATATGAATAAATACCATTTTTAAAATTCATGAACATTCTGGTTATTTCTTCTATTAAATTCTTTATTACTACTAATATTTAACTACAGCTATAATCATTATTGATAACTATATATATTAATCAGAAACGTACACATAAATCTCTACCAGTTGTCCCATATTTTTCTGGTCATATATCAAGTAAGTGACGTAAATATTCCCAGAAATGTACATACATACTCTATAAAACTGTATAACACACATATTATTTTTTATTTTTTTTGCCGGCTATAACACACATATTATATGTTTACGTTTACTGTATGAGATTATATTGCAATGAAATTATAAACATATAATAAGTAAATAAGTACCAGACAATC